TTTTGTCTCTCTTCAACGACGGAAACTCTTTATTCTCATGTCGAGTTCATGTGTAGATTACGCTGATAACGCTGTGATGTTTTTCCTACATAGATCCTCGGAGATCGACCATTCTCTCCGGTTTCCGACTTTCCCGGATACTCTCAACGAAGAACAACACGAGTCTGGAGGCAATTTGCGCAGCACCAGCCGCATAACCTTCAAACACATTGTGATAGTCATTATCCCGACAGAAATGCATGTGAATGCGACATTGAGAGTCTCAGACGCAGTATAGAGAGTCGCCGTACCCGTGAGCATTATTATGGTTGGCAAAACCACACTGAGATCGATAGTCCGAGTCGATGGTACGATTCTCCCACGTAGTCGCAAACTCACAACAACCAAAGCGACTTGCGCACAGAAATAACATGTTCTGCATCCGGTGATGACTCGGGAGGTTTTGAACATACCTGCATAGAATGGAGGGTAAGCAGACCACTCACGCATCGGACACCTTAGCTTTTCTCAACTCTTCTCTAAATGTTATGTCCGTTGCCCACTCCCTTCAATGTGCTCTGGTTCCCTTCCTTGGGGCTTCGACCTTCACAATGCAAAACATAAGAATGCAAAATAAGGTTACTCATTACTGTAAATTGCTGCAATTTAATTGCAGTATGTCAATGGCAGTGATGACAACTATGGGGCTGAAACATGGAGAGGTACCATTGTGAAAGATCCTCTTTCACGTATAGCACTAAGTTAGGCGCGAAGTTATAGATATACTTCCCCAGTGAAAGTTAGCATTTTGAGGATCGATTCTAACACGTGTATGCTAAGAATATGCGGAGGGGTGTACTTACCCAGACGGGGTGAGAATTCTCCTCACTGTCTGAGTGTATACGTATTGAGTCAAACTTCTGTCAATACTATTGACAGAAGCACCCAACATGATCAAAGGTTGTGTGTAAATTTGTGCGAAAGGTGTGCCATAAAACATGCACGCTGTGAAACGTGGCTGGTTCAGCTGAGCCCGAAAGGCTTACTGTGCACCGGATTCCGGTGACCGGAATGTTTGGGCATCCTCTGGCTCTCAGATGCCACCGTAACGGCCGCCGTCACCTACACGTGATGGTTCGTTGTCATTGGGACACATCGTGTGTCACACATGTAGGCACTTGAACGGAGCTCCGTAAGATTAATCTGTTTCTGTCTGGTTCCCCTCTTCTTTTGCCTGGTTCACTACTGGAGAACGGACAAGTAAACAGAATCCCTTGTGCAGTCTACTGTTTGAATACCGCCTCCTATGGGGGGAGTCTACTGTTTGAATGCCGCCTCCTATGGGGAGAGCGATCCCTATGGATTATGTCCTCGCTCTATGGTACTCGGCGTAGAGCCTCGTATTCCTGAAGCGGAAGGTAAACAGTCAGTTAGCTAGGAGGAGCTGCAAGAGCTTGGATTCTGACATCTCACAGGGATTCCATCGTGGAAAGCTCAACTAGCTGAGTTGTCTCGCTCGCGAGAATCTCCGCGACGCTACCTTCAAGAAGTATTTCACTGTATGGGCCTCTCTACGAGTGGCAAACTACTGCGTCGTTCTAAGGTCACTTAAGATTCTTCAGTGACCAAACCTTCGTAAGATATATCTACAGTGAAGGTTTTGTCCGCCTTGTCAGAGCTAAATTACCGGAATCTGAGCCAATGAAGCCTTCATTGTGAAGGTTCTTGAGGCTCGAGGCAGTGTTGTTAGTGTTATCCACAGGTCCGAAGAGGTCTCCGAGAAGTAAGCTGGTAATTTGGTGCTGTGCAAAAGCGAGCCCTTTAATAGAAGAGATCTTTCCGAGAATTGCTCATGAATATCTATCTGGTACTTACGAACCACTAGCTGTGTTGTTAAATCATAGGCTCCGGCGGAATCCTCGGGCAAGGAACAATCGGAGACTCATTATGACTCTAACTCATTGTTTACTTTGCCTGTCTCTTTTTCAAGTTGACCACTCCGGCGAATATCGCTGAGGATGCTACTCTCGTCCTTGTTTTGACCTGTGATGGCAATGTAACAGTGGGTTGTTGAAGGTATAGAGAGTCGGGTGACCATAGGTGTGATTTATGGGAATTACAGGAAGTTGATGCTTCCGGTTATCTCATTAATAAGGAGGGATGAGTGTTATCTGTGCAATAATGGGTCTCTTGACAGCATGCCAACAGTCTGCACCTACAAGCTCCGACTACTGTTGACACGACAATCGCAGAAGTTGGAGTTCAGCCTACGTTGGCTCCGTGAAGATCGTCCTGATTGAGCGTCTGAGATGGTTAGAGTGAGACGAGAACTAGAATTGTTGAATGATTCAACAATTCTAGCTCTCAGTTGGATTTCAAGTAGAGCATTTTCACACCATTCTTCGTTGAAAATACCAAAGAAGTATGAGTGTTCACAGTCAATATTAGTGAGTAATGATATTAAAGTTGTGATCTCAACTTGTCAACTTGGATTCAGTGAATCAAATTCAGCAGTGGACTCCACTCAGTGGAGTGAGGTGAAGTTAGACTCTCTATGCGAGGGATACAAGAAGCCAAGCAATACAAAACGCCTTTTCCGTCGCCGAAAGCGAAGCTACTATCGTGTTGTTTATGAGGGGATCTCTTAGAGAGCCTCTCTATACGGAAGGGTAGTCATTCTACACTGACCAACCAGTGGTGCAGCCATTACGCCATTTTGACGCAACTGTTTAGACACGTCACATAGTGCAGGCGCAAGTGTTGACATGGATTCGCCAGTATAGAACTATCACACTTCGTGTAGGTCACCCCTCTTGTTCTTAGCTGGGCCTGGTTACCAGGTGATGGGACCTGAGGTGTGGGACTTCCTGTATTCGCGTAATAACTCATAGTGATATATCAATTCTGAATCCGTAGAGACAACCTCACGGTTAATTGTGGCGATGACTGCCCCCCGAATGTTCATGTTCTATTACATGGAAGGAGAACCACTTCGCTCCGCTCATGGAGTTTGCGCGCGAACGTAGCTTAGTGTTCACGTGAAGCTTCAAGCCTTTCATCACAGTCGCACTTTTTGAGTTCGAAGTCTACTTCGACTCTCCACAAAGGAGGACCACCGCTCTCACACCCAATTTCCCGGGATTCCCCACCGGGAATCGCCAGGAAATTGAGATTCGCTGCCACCCTGGCGAGTAACGGTACCGGTCTTCCTCGTAGAAAGCGTAGCCACTCGAGCACCCTCTACAGTATCAGCGAGCTTTGCATCTCAAATGCGCATTATTCTCTCACTCATTCTCCTTACAATCCTACCTTCGGTCGAGTCCTTGCTGGAGTCCCACAAGGGAACTGTGCACTCGGCATTTATCGGTTTCCAGTATAAGTAAGGTAGTCATCAAGTCGTATTGTATTACGATGTCTTGGCTTGCAGATTCGGTAAAAAATACGAGTCTAAGGAGGAAGAAATAAAAAGAAATGCCATATTTCAAGTCAACCTCCATCACATCGAGCAAATCAACGCTCGAAGTGAGAAACATCACATTCGCCATGAGCCGAGTGCCAAGTTGTGCAGATCTGTCTTACAAGCTGGGCGTCAATGAGTATACGGACCTCACACACGAAGAGTTCGCCGCCCTGAAGCTCGGCATTCTGAAGATGAGCCTGAGGAAGGATGATAAGTTTGTTGCTGAAAGTAGAAACAGCAGCTGTTGAACAGCTGGATTTCCCTTGCCAACTCGAGCCTCCTTGTGTCAGCTGATACCACACAGCTCGCAGCTTCGGTGGATTGGAGAAATAAGAGTGTATTAACCCCGATCAAGGATCAAGGGCACTGTGGAAGCTGTTGGGCTTTCTCATCGACCGGTAGCTTCCTTGGACGTGCTTGTGTGAGCCTTTGCACTTTTAAGGTGCTCTCGAGGCGCAGTATGCCATCGCTACGGGTAAGCTCTTGTCACTCTCCGAGCAGCAGCTTGTTGATTGCAGCTCCAGCTATGGGAACCAGTAAACTGCACTACAGGCATGTGTTTCTTATCCAGTTTCGGAGGAATATATCTTTGCCTCCATCGGCTGAGCCTAATAGTTTCATCACTGAATAGAGAGTTTGTATACGAATCCGAGTAACCAACAATCCCCAAGATTTTCTGAAGGTTCCCATATTGTCACCAACACATGTAGTTGAGCATATCCATATCTTCCAGTACGAAGTTTTCACACTACTCGCATCTCAGCGGATGTAATGGAGGCTGGATGCAATATGCTTATGACTACATAAAGTCATCTGGCATCGATCAAGAGTCGACCTACCCTTATGAAGCTTCGGACAACACGTGCCAAAAGTCCCTTGAGAAACTATCCGACGGCCTCCCGGTGAGACTTGTATTGAACAGTACTATCATCATCCCCAACAGGTCGGCGAGGTTACTGGCTATCACATGCTAGAACAAACTGAGCAGGCTTTGATGACAAGGTTAGTGGCGGCTCCGGTCTCCGTCGCAATGTATGCTTCGGATCCGGATTTCCAATTTTATAAATCGGGAGTGTACTCGTCTGGTAAGCTTCGCGCTCGATGCTGATGTGTAAGGAGTATTACCGGTTTTAGATACCTGTAACGGAGGCCTTGATCACGCTGTTGTGGCGGTTGGTTATGGAAACGAAAATGGAGAGGAGTGAAAATATCACGATGTGGGTGTTTACTTCATATTCTTCTATCAGTTACTTCATCGGCAGAAATTCTTGGGGAACGTCCTGGGGTCAAGATGGGTACTTTTACTTGAAGCGAGGAGTTCCCGGTTACGGTGAGCTTCGCCACTCATCATGACATCCACAAAATCGTCCTCTTTAGGTGAATGCACGATACTCGAGTACATGTGTGTTGCGGATCTCAAAACTACAACGTCAGAGACCAGTAATCATAGTACGATCATGATTCGTAAAAAAGCATCTTGAGCATTCATTCTATCCAATCGCTCGCGCTCGTTATGCGAGAACTATTTCTTCCTCTTGGCCGTTCTTTGCTAACGAAGAAGATAGGAACATCAGATGTTAGGGATTCTTCATTTCAAAAAGCTTCACTTCAATAAGTTTTGACAGAT